ATGTATTTCGTCGCGTTCAACCTTGTGTAGCACAGTTTCTCCATGGATTGAGTTAAAAGACAACAACCTGAGGTATTAAGAGTAGTTTGGTTCTGAATGTAAGATGTATTTCGTCTCGTCCAAACTTGTACAGCATCGTTAGTCCATGGATTGCGTTAAGCGGCAACAAATTGAGGTATTAAGGGTTGTTCGGCTCTAGATGTAGGATGTATTTCGTCGCGTTCAACCTTGTATAGCACAGTGTCTCCATGGATTGGGTTAAACGACAAGAAATTGAGGTATTAAGAGTAGCCTGACTCTAAAAGTAGGATGTATTTCGTCGCGTTCAACCTTGTGTAGCGCAGTTTCTCCATGGATTGAGTTAAAAGACAACAACCTGAGGTATTAAGAGTAGTTTGCTTCTGAATGTAGGATGTATTTAGTCGCGTTCAACCCTGTATAGCACAGTGTCTCCATGGATTGAGTTAAACGACAAGAAATTGAGGTATTAAGAGTAGCTTGACTCTAAAATAAGATGTATTTCGTCGCTGGAAGTTGTGTGGTTCGTCATGTCGTCTTTTCTACAAACCTTCCACGTCCAGTTTGCACTTGGAGGTCCCGTCATTGGTTTTCAAGGTGAACTCCCCGGCGTCGTCTTTGTTCAAGTCCTTGATCTTCAGTTTTCTCTTCTTGCCGTCTGCGATGATCTGGATCTTACCGCTGCTGAGGAGGTCCTGGGGAATCGGTTTCCCGTTCCTCAGCCACGTGACCTCCCCATCCGGTTCAGAGACCTCCGCTTCCAACGTCACTTCCGGGTCCCTGTCGGTGGCTTTTACGTTTTTCAACCCGGACTTAATCTGAATGAGCCGATCTGAAGAGCAAGTGCACATTCAGTGGTGAAATAACGGCACCATACTGCTGTAGAGCCAGTAACCATTTCAAAGAAGACCATTAAAAAGACCAAGAGTGCTTACCAATAAGACCAATTCATATATTAGTTTCCTATTATCATGTTCTGATTGTTGGGCAAAAGGCAACCAACCGGACAGTGCGTGCATGTGTGTGTGTGTGTATAAGTGAATGAGTTGTGAAGAATATACTAGATTTGTTTGTACAATCCAACCACTCTAGTTTAGGCAATGGTTTGATCCATATGATCTTCATGGAAATATATTCGAGGCGTTAACATGGCAACTATTCACAGAAGCTCTCAGCGTTTTGGAAAATTCAGCGATGTGACTGGTGGGCAAAATTCATCAAGCGCTTAAGCTGACGGCTGGCAATTTGTACGAAAGGCCGAAGAAAACGCGCGCGAATCATGCGGTCGGCCGCTCACCCTGCTCCGAAGAGAGGAGAAAGCATCAGAAAGAGTTTTTTTAAGTCAAAACTAGAGTCAAAGTCAAGCAAATTGGTAATACTATGAGCATGCATAGGATAGCAATGGAAAAGGGTTAAGAAGAGCAACAGATACTGGAGTGCATCAAAGATGGTTTGTCCAGTAGTCCTCTACTTCATAGTGACAGCTATAGTGTGAAAGGAGTTGTTCCAGTGAAAGATGGTTTATCTAGATGTCCTCTACTTGGTATTAAGTGTAAAATAAAAGGAGTTGATCCAGTGAAAGATGGTTTATCTAGATGTCCTCTACTTGGTATTAAGTGTAAAATAAAAGGAGTTGATCCAGTGAAAGATGGTTTGTCTAGAAGACCTCTACTTGGTAGTGGCAGTGAGAAAAGAGTTGATCCAGTGAAAGATGGTTTATCCATCTCTCTAATTGATAGTGAGTATGAAAGGGTTGATCCAGTGAAGGTTAAGAGAAGAAAAAGTTGATGAGGAAGGTTAGAGGTAGATGCAGCAGGATGTCCTCTACTTGGTATTAAGTGTGAAAGGAATTGATCCAGTAAAAGATAGTTTATCTAGAATTCCGAATCTTCTAGTTGGTATTGAGTGTGAAAGGGATTGATCCAGTGAAAATTAAGAGAAGAAAAAGTTGATGAGGAAGGTTAGAGGTAGATGCAGCAGGCTGACCGACTCTAGACCACAGACCTGAGATGTCCAGCTTGCACTTGGACTGTCCTGAGTTCGTCACCAGCGTGAACTCTCCACAGAACGCCTTTTCCGGGTCCTTGATCTTCAGCTTCCGCTTCCGGCCGTCCGAAATGATCTGGAACCGGCCGCTGGACAGGAGATCCACCGGGATCGCCTGGCCGTTCCACAACCACGTCACCTCCCCGTCAGGGATCGAGATCTCAGCCTCCAGGATCACTTCTGGATCCTTCTCGCGGGCGCTAACGTCTCTTAGCCCGGTCTTTATTTTCACAGGCCGGTCTAGACGGAGTTGGTAGATAATCAACAGCACATTCATCGTTTATCTTACTTAAACAAGCATCGAAACTCTTGTACATCACGGCTGTCAGTTATGCTGTTTTTGATACATGTATACAAATAAACCAATAAACATTTGATACATACCAACCAAAGAGAGCAATTAGTGATCACCATCGGCAGTATGAAATGTTGAACTAAAACTTTTATAAACCGGTCTAGAGAGGTTAAGTATTCAGACATGGTAAATATTCTGGAATCAACAACACACTTCATACATACAGACCATAATGAGCAATTGATGACCATCTGCTGTATGAAATGTTAAACTAAAACATTCTAGCATCAATAAGTACTTGTAGGCAACAATGAGGGCAATCAATAAGGGCAATGATAATGTTAATGTGGCTTGATGGAACTTGGTCAAGCATGGTTGCGTTTTCCGTTGGTTCGATATACAATAACAAAATGTGTGTTGTATGTTGCATGGAAGCTGTAGTCATGTATTCACATGTATCTGATGATTTGATTCAAGCGCGCGCGACGCAAAGTGTATGAGGCGCACACGTGAGTGAAAAAGGCATTAGATGAGTTAAAGGTACTATAGTTGTCTTGCGGAGAAATGCATACGCATGTATATGGTGGATGAAAATGGACTAAACCTGATTATCATACATGGCACCAATGAAAACACGTTTTAGATGCTGATGACACTTATGATGTACAGTAATCGTGGCGTTCTAGTGTGCAAATGTTCACCGTCCTGAAATGTTGCCTTTGAACCAAGGCGTAGCATTATTCCATGAGCACAAGGATATTGGTTGCGATGGGATAGTATGCTTGCACAATCATGAACGTTGTCAATGGTCCAAAATTCGCAACAGTACTACTGTTGCCACCCGGAGGCCTACAAGAAACATTTACCGATGAAGGACGACAAAGCTGAAGCTGCAAAAGTGGCAATGTACAAATGACAAGTCTAATATGCTTTTTGTTATAAAATACATGATTTCAATTACATAAACCTACACTACCCACAGCTATAGTACAATGCTGTTTTAAAAACGTTGCCATCAGTAGATACACCATATAGTAGACAGGAACAGAAGTGATGGCTGTGAACCATGATGTACATATAACCAACATTATATGCAGCAAACAGTTGACAGACACAGAAGTTAGGCTTGTGTACCAACCTGAGACGCTGACGTTACAGCTAGACTTCCCGTCTTTCGTCACCAGAGTGTACTCCCCGCCATCGTCCCTCCCGACGTTTGTGATCACCAACTTCCGTTTCTTCTTATCGGAAACCACCTTGAACATTAGTAAAATAGTTTATATACAAATCCTTTCACTGTAATTATGTTACAATCAGCTTTGGTACCATAATATTAGGCTACATAACGCATTTATCTAACATGCCCAGCACAGTTAGAAACATTAATATTGCAATTAACATAGCAAAATCTAATCCGGATGACTTGGTGTGCGGTCAGTCACTTGCCGCCATATTCAAAGATGAAACAAAATATTTTGTAACCAAGAGTTGGGCAACTGATGTAATATTGTTTATGATTTTAGACATTTTCTCTGTATCACATGTAAGTGTCCTTTGTAGATTTCATTGTGATAAAGAAATGATAAAAAAACACCTTGAACTTGCCGCTGTCGAAGAGTTCCTTGGGGATGGGTTTGCCGTTCCATAGCCAGGAAACCTCCCCGTCCAGCTCCGAGATGGTAGCTTCCAGGACGAGCTCTGGGTCCTTGTCCAGAGCACTGACATCCTTCAGGCCCTTCTCTATTTTCACGGGCTTCGCTGTTGGAAAAAAAATTATGGACAGGTTAACATCTCTTTCTGATATTACGATGTCATATTGCATAGTAGTCTTTGGTAAGGTAGATTAGCATCATAGTGTATTTGTTGTTATATAGCAGTAAATGTTATACGTTGTACCTTGTACAATCATTGTGCAATAGTTTTCTTTTATATAGTAGTTTTTTTATTGTAGTTTTATTTCTCTCTATAACGTATACGATGTATACCATTGTTTTCGATGATACATAGCCAGAATATCATTATTATTACCATCGCTTTATCACTATTATCATTTCTGATGTTGGTTATAGCAAAAGTGGAATATATTTCTACCCGAAGTTGTGCTAGCTCACAAAATATGAGTGGCGCATACAGGTGACGACACAAACCTTCAATTGCAAGCTTGGCCGATGACTTGAACTTCTTTTTGATGCCGGCCTCGATGGTGTATTCTCCCATGTCTTCCATGGTGAGGCCGGTAATGATGAGATACCTCTTCAGTCCGTCTTTCTGCATGGCACAAGGAAGTTTTTCTTTGAATTCCCATCGCGGATACAGATGAGCTTTATTCGAATGCGATAAAGCGTTTACCCCAAGTCGCCACTAACCAAAGTCACTATGAAACAGGGAGTGGTTTTTGGTCAAGATAGCTTCAGCCGAAGACGTCGTCGGCCACGTGGCGCAATGGACTAGCGCACCGGACTTCTAGTGGGGTCATCAGTCATTCGGAGGTTGTGGGTTCGAGTCCCACCGTGGTCGAAGTGCCTTTTTTGTGCGACAAGCTTCCCTTATTTAACGAAACTTTACTCAATGTAGCACAACCTCCCACTATAACGTTCAGAACGCCAGGAACCCATAGAACTATCTGGATCACGAAACGTACATTGATTTCGTAAGATATCCTGTCTGTGTAGAAATGATACAAACATATTATCATCTTTGTAATGCCATACTATAATTCAGCTAAAAAGCTGCCACTGTCTGGTTGTTTTAAGTCGCAATAAAGCATTGATATATTCATATGATATATAATGTAACTAAAGCAACTGAGTGAGTTCTCTGAGGAGTTGGATGCTTTAGACAACATTCGTTTATAATCTTTTATTAGTCTTTAATCTGTGTTTATGACACAAATTTTATATATAACCACACTTAAATGATAATGAAAACCTACCTTGATTTCATACCTGCCTCCCATCTTGATCTCCACCCCGTTCCTGAACCAGTGTACTTCTGTGTCCTCCGTGGACAGCTCACACTCGAACGTCACCGATTCCTTGGGGAAGGCCTTGCTGTCCTTAAGGTGCTGCTTAAATTCGATAGGAGCCTCTGTAATTGAAAAAAAAAAAGATTAAACTAATCTTTTAACAGTATCTGGGATCAGCCATCTTTACCTCTACCGAAGGAAAACATGTTGTTTTTGCTCAGTTTCCTCTTCTCCAAACGCAACAGGTCAATGGCCACAACCAGACGTCTGTCACCGTGGTAACTAGTGTTGTGTTGCGATCTTGTTGCAGGAGGGATTGAGACTCCTGTCCCCCTTTATCCCCACTCATATGCTGTCAACCTTACCTGACAAGCATGCACACAGACAGTCCACCCAAACAAATACTTCTGTGCCCAGAACGTATAATGATTTGTTTGTTTGTTTGTTTGTTTGTTTGTTGAATTGAGTTTCAGCGATCCAGCCGTACCTTCTACAGTCATGGTGCACGAGGTCTTGCCGCCCGGCGCCTCGCATGAGTACTCGGCCGTGTCGTCCCAGGCCAGGTTCTTGATGATGAGGATCCGCCTGGTTCCCTTCACCTGGCAGTCATACTTCCCCTTCAGCCTAGCGAGGTTAATCTCCTTGCTGTTCTTGAACCTGATTGGTTAGAAATTATTACGATTGAACGAATGAAAGCAGAGCTTAAACCTGATTGGTTGTGTTTGATTAATCTCCTTGCCGTCCTTGAGCCTGATTGGTTAGAAAGGAGTACGATTTAACGAATGAAAGAAGGGCTTGAACCTGATTGGTTGGAAATTATTACAATTTAAGGAATGAAAGGGAAGCTTGAACCTGATTGGTTGGAAATCATTACGATTTAACAAATGAAAGGAGAGCATGAACCTGATTGGTTGCGAAAGAGTACGATTCAACAAAGGAAAGATGAGGAAACGTTTCTCAACCTTGCTACTCACCATTTGACCCTGGCGTCTTCCTTTGCGACTTCACATTCTAACGTCACGTCCCTCTTGAAGAAGCCAGTTAAGCTCTTAAGCTCTGAGACAAATCCGGGTGGAGGTTCTGGGGAGAAAAAAAGACGCCAGGCAAAGTCAGTAATCAAACGTGACAACATTGACTGACTCTTCAAACATACAGTTTAAAAGAAACATGCCACAGGCAAAACATCTCAATGTCTGATGGTCTGTGTCCTGTTTCCCAACCAAACGTTTAACGTGCTTTAGTTGTCCAAAGCACAGACCATGGTTTGAGTACAGGCTCGCCATATGAATGATCGCGCACCTCTTTTCAATATGCAATACCATCATTCATAGATAATCTACACCTAAAAGCCCACACCAAGCATACCTAAGTATAACACGATTCTCTTGCTGCAAGAAACTCAGCTACGCATACGCTACGTTTTCACCTAGCTATAGCCTGACTACATCTTGCTTCTAGCAGACCTTCCATCTGCCAGGCCTCTGGTAGAAGCCTAATGGCCAACACCTCTAAGTCAGGAGAATTGGGAACATCTTAATGGATCCTGTTAGTTTGGCATATGTGCTAACAAGGACCAATTGTTGTCACACTGAAAACTGTTTCTTATCATAGTGCTTAAGGCTATGATGACTGGTTTCCATGTTGATGGAGAATCCTGAGCTCCTATTGTAATGATTTTCATAGTGATAAGGAACCCTGAACTCAGCTACTATTAATAGTTCTGGCAATGGAAATGGTTATCCTGAGTTAGAGGTGTAAAGCCACAAGCTCTCGGGAAGGAGGCCCGGTCAGTCCCAGAGATTGTGTAACAGGCTACTTTTTCACCCCACTCACTCGTTGCACCTGCAGTACCACGCGCCCCCGCTAGGCCGCTGCCGCGCCTGTCTCTTTTCCAACCACGATCTGATGACGTTACAATATGCATAGTCGAGCGTGAAACGAAGATGAAGGAAAAAAAATAAAGGTGAAGTGGAACATGAAAACATAATGAATTGAAATAAAACAAGAACAAGGGACGAAAACAAAATGGTAAAGCATGAGAATAGGATAGGCTCCACAGTATCAAGTCACTATTTTCCAGTCCTCTTGACCATATGAGACCTTTCATGACAATTTTTCATGACAAAAACGTCGGCACATTTCTGTAATTATTTCTTTTGTCACAAAAATGTAGTGTTTTGTAAACCATACGCAAGACACTGGGAAGGGACTGGATACTGTGTTTTGCAGAGGAGTGTGAGCGATTGCACAAAAACTGAAATCAAATAAACACAAATGAAAGAATAACAGCAAAGGGGACACTCGTCAACGTCGGTCAGAAGCAACCAACCCCGGCTGTCTGCACTTGGAGAGCGCTCTACATTTGCATCTGCGTCTGCGCTGCTGCCAGCATCTGTAGCAAAATCTGCAGCATCTGCAGAGTCTGCAGCAAAATCCGCAGGTGCTCCGGAAGCACCATCTGCATGTGCAGACGCATCAGCAGGTGGCCTGAAGCCGGCATCTGCAGCAATATCAGCATCTGCATCAGTGCCAGGAACTGATGTAGTGCTGGCACTAGGCTGATGTACATTTTTTTTTGCAAACGCATGCCCTGTGTTAGTCTCTACCAGATTCCAATTGGTTACAGGAAAGTAGTAAACATTGGCCACATAGACTGAATAATAATATGCCAAAAGAGATCAAAAGTCATCTGAGCACACGTTGCAACCCCGGAGAGTGCATGTGCTTCCATTGGCCGGCTAACTTCCTCTGGCTTTTCTTCATGATCAGTCTATTTAACGGTCAATGTCTAGTACTTTTCAGCAACCCTTTGGAGTATGGTAGAGACTAGCCCTGCGTGGCAGTTGCTGTCCTTATGCCTTCCCTATCCTTCCCATCCTTCCTTCGATCTTTTTTATTTAGTTCGCTTCGCATGGCAGGGATTTTTAATATCAAAATCATCTTGCCCGAGTTTGAAAATGGTACCCAAGAAAGCTACGAGGCTGCGACTCGGTTGCGGATGAAAAGAAAAGGCGAATTCGCATGAAGGCCTGTGCGGGTCATGTCATTGGTCGGTTTACACAGAGCTGGAACAAAAGAAATAAGCGGGTTCACGGTTTTACATGCGCATGTACGAGGCCAATGGAGAAGGTCCTAATCCAGACCATCCTTGATCCTATGTTCAGACGTGTTTTGTTTGTGTGTCAGGGGCTTTAAGATCATGTGCAGTTCAACCGTGAACCAGCCTATCGAGATAACACACAAGGATGACAGCGAAAACAGACAGTAGAGAGCGGTGATGTGATACAATCGTGAAGATGTCTGAAAAGGTGCGAAAGGTGCAAAGACGACAGATTGATTTGGTGATGAGAGACGGTTGAATACAGCATAGTTTACGGACTGAAAATGGCACCGGCCACGTGGCGCAATGGACTAGCGCACCGGAACTCTAGTTGGATCAGTTATTCGGAGGTTGTGGGTTCGAGTCCCACCGTGGTCGAATGTTGTGCAGTGAGAAATACCCCGGAAAATACAATGTCAATACTATTCAACTAACTTGTATATACACGTACTATAATAGCCTACCGTGTTGGTTTTGCTAAATATGTTGATACTAAACTTCGGCGCAATTCAGTCTTTACTGCAAGGCCTATTTGTTTTGTGCTTTATCGATAAACCAATTACTACTAACGTTACTACTAAGACAGACTTACCTCTGATGATGAGTTTTCCGGTGCTGCTGCCGTCCTTGGTCTTACAGATGTACTGTCCCCGGTCCTTTTCCATCTCGATGTTCTTGATGATGAGGACGTGTTTCAGTCCTTCCTTGATGATTTGGTACTTCTCCCCAGCTGTCAGCTCCTCCTTGTTCCTGAACCATGTCACCTTGGCGCTTTCGCTGGACACCTCGCACTCAAAGCGCGCGTCGCCACCGACTGGTGCCTCGCAGTCTCTCAGCTCGCTGGTGAACTTGTACCGCTCCTCTGTAGGTAAGAGTTGTGAAGGAAGGGCGTCATGAAGTGAAACTAGATGTTTAGGTATTCCTCAGTATGTCTAAGTGCCCGGCCACATACATCGTACAATAGGAAACTGAGGCAATTCTTGGGATAGTCACAGCCTGGTTACAACTACTTAGATATCAAAATTGTACGTCACTTCTTTGAAGTGTGACGTCAACACTGGGTCAAAGGTATCTTGTAGACGATGTCGGCCCCCGTCGCTGTTGAGTGAAGTCATGTGACGAGCCTCACTGGGTCAGTCTACTGAGGAAGACCAGAGTAACTGGTCGAAAGCTCTAGATGAAATAACTTCTTTGTGTTGGATCAAAAGTCTTAACTCGAAACGTGTAATTACCAACACAGATTAACTATCATGATTGTTTACTTCTGGTTTACCTTTTAAGTCATAAAGGTACATGAAGACAAATCTTTTACAGATTGTTACTATTTACAGATATAATATGTTTACCTTTAACAGTCAATTTGGCTTGAGTCTTGTCATCTCCAGTAGAACAACTGTAGTCACCCATGTCTTCAAACTCGGTACGGCGGATGACTAAGGTGCGCCGGTTTCCCATGGTTTCAATGGCATATCTAGGATCACATCGACAAGTTATGTTAGAGATCATTGTGGTTACTTGTGGGCATCTCAAGTGTGGAAATGATACGAGCTCGACGTTCATACAGTTAAAAATCAATGCAGATGTGCAAAATACAGTCAAACAGGGTCCAAAATCGTTTGCGAAATCTCGTTGGGAGAGACCTGCACGCCACGTTACAACCGCTTTCACACCGGCGCGATGTTGCTAGCCTGGCGTTACTATATCGATATTTCCACGGCAGATGCTCTGATGAACTTCATTCCCTCGTACCCCCACTCAGAACATTCTCTGCAAGAACACGCTTAGCCACCTCAACAGCAGAAAATCACCCTTTCTTCCTCAATAGTCCATCAGTCAAGAGAAAATTTCATGCAGACAGTTTCTTCCCCAGAACCACTTCACTGTGGAACAAGCTTCCCCGTGAATGTTTCACCGCTAATTACAACCTCCAACGGTTTAAATCAAGGGTGAACAAATATCTGACCACGCAGTCATCACTGTAACCCAAAACATGTAAGTGGCTCTCACGAGCCTTGTTTTGAGGTGAATTCTGAAGTAATTAAAAAAAAAAAAACGGTACAAGGTGA